GCCGAAGATTTCAATGAGAAAGCTGCCTTGGCCGAGGAAGAAGCTAAGCAGAAGCAGACTGAGTTAGAAGTTGAGATTCAGCGACTGAGCGATCAATTGAAGGCCAAGGATTCAGAGCTCTCCAATGCCAAAACTAAGCTCAAGGGGATCTAGAGCCAGCTTAAAGTGCAAACTAATGAGGCTGCTAAGGCCAAGGCTGACCTTGAGGCTGCCCAGAAATTGTTGGAAGTCAGAATCTACACCCGGATCAGTATGATGAGGGTTTTGATAATGGCTTTAAAGTAGCTCGGCGTCTAGCTTTTCATGCTGATCCGAGCATCAATCGGGATGCGGCCGAAGAGTGGTCAATGGATCTTGACCATCCGAACCTGCTTAATTCTCATGAAGCTGAGCTTGCTATTCTTGCTCGGCTTGCCGAAGCTGAGGCCCGAGAAGAAGATGAGGCTGCAAAGAAAGAGAAAGACACTGCTCAGCCTGCCTCTTCTTCTGCTGGTGCTGAGCTTGCCAATGCCGAAGCATAGGAACTCGGGCAGTCGTCTGCTGAATCTTGCGGGTCAACATGCACTTAACTGTTATATATGCCGCATCTGCCTTTTTTCCTTTCTTTTACTTCAGCTTGCCATGAATTGTACAAACTTATTTTTTCTTACTTTAAGTATTTGTACTAGGTTCGGCAGCTGTGTCTTCCTCTTGTGGGCGGCTGCCGATTTACAATTTCGTTGTACTTGACTTTAAAACCCTCAACTTTTAATTTATTGAAGCTTTGTTCTGCTTTTCTCTTCCATTGCCTTGTTTTCTTTACTTAGTTGTTTCTTTGAATTTCTTCAAAAATTTTCTAAGTGTTGAACCTCAGCTTGGAAGTATTTTTAGCTGAGAATTTCTTATACCAGAAATTCAAAGTTGTAACCTTCAGGCTTCTAAAGTAATTGCTTCAACATTTTCAATTCAGCCGAGCATCTTTGATTTTCAATGAGTGCACTGTTTTTATTACATTCCTTCTACTTAGCTTTGTCTAAGTACTAAGCTTCGGCTCGGAACTGGCTAGCTGAGTGCCTTTTGCCCCCCTTAAAAATCTAAAGATGTCATTTTCAGGTTTTTGGGGTATTTGCTTCGACTTTTTGCTACAGCCGAGGCTTTTGCCTTGGAAGAATTCTTATAACAATTCAGATTTTGAAGTTTCTGCTCATTTTTCTTTTCTCTTCTAATTTATTTTTAAGGGATCTGATTTCGTTTTTTAGAAGCCTTAGGCTTCGAGAACAATATATCCTGATCCTTATAATTATCCGAGGGAATGACTATCCGAGACACGATGCAAGGGCAATGATTTGTTCGAAGTATTATGCCTTATTTGGCAATACTTCGGGGGTGCAATCATTACCCGAAACTGACTCATCCGAAGTGCAATGCATCATTAGGCAATACTTCGGGGGTTTATCAGTTCCTATTTTTTAGGCAATGTTTCGAATGCGACTATGACCTCTTCGCCCGAAGGAACTGATTCGTCCGAAGTACAATGCTTCATTAGGCAATACTTCGGGGGTGCAATCATTTATCCTCGTCTCTGCAGGTTTTACGGCTTGCTGAAGTACAATGCCTCATTAGGCAATACTTCGGGCAGCACCGAAGGAAAACCTTGAATTTTTTTCAAAAATATCGAAGACAGAAGAAATAGAAACTTTGCTGAATTTGAATAAATGGTGACTTAAAGGCCTTTCATTAATCAGAAAGATGCACTTACATAGATTGTTCTTCCCCGAAGGGCTTTACACATGATACTTCTTAAGCACATCGGCATTCCAGTGGTTTTTTTAGCTCAATTCCATCTAACTTTCGAAGTCTGTATGTTCCTGGTTGGAAATCATCATATATTTCATAGGGTCCCTCCCAAGTGGCTGAGAGTTTCCCATGAATGCGGCCTTTTTGCACATCAGCAGCATTCCGAAGAACAAGATCCCCAATTTTGAGAAGTCTTGCATGGACTCTTCGGTTGTAAAATTTGCTGACTTTTTGCTTATATACAACCATTCTATCTCGAGTCGAATCTCTTACCTTGTCTAAAAAGTCAAGGGACTCTTTCATGAGTTGTTCATTTTCTTTGGCTGAGAAGAAATTCACTCGCAGGCTTTCTAAGCTAATTTCCACTGGAAGAACATTTTCGGATCCATACACCAATTCAAAAGTTGAATGTCCCGTTGCCTCTTTTTCTGTTGTCCGAAGTGACCAGAGGGTTCCTGGAAGTTCCTCTATCCACTTAGACTTTTGATCTTCAACTCTCTTCTTGAGAGCGTTGAGAATCTGCTTATTCGCAGCTTCGGCTTGACCATTACTCTGCGGATACATACTGCAGAATATACCAATTTAATGCAGAGATCAATGTACCGCTTTAGCGGCAAATTATCAAATTGCCTCCCATGATCGAAGACAAAGACCTTCGGAATCCAGAAGCGAGTGATAATGTTTTGCCAGATGAATTTCTTGACAGTATGCTCTGCAATGTTCGAGGTTGCTTCGGCCTCAATCCATTTGCTGAATTAGTCTATGACGACTATCAGCCATCTTTTTTTGGTATGGAGCATCGGGAAATGGTCCTAAAATGTTCAATCCCCATTGAGCAAATGGAAGAGGATTCAGGATTGACTGAAGATCTTGGGATGGCTGATAGATGACTGGTGCGAACTTTTGACACTTTTCACATTTTCTAACCAGCTCCTTAGCATCTAGGATCATGGTTGGCCAATAATATCTAGCCCTTAGCGGATTATGGGCTAAGGCTCTTCCCCTAATGTGGTTTCTGCAGATGCCGAGATGGATCTCCCGAAGGATGTAGTTAGCATCTGTTGGACCCACGCATTTCAATAGTGGGGCTGAGAAGGACTTTTTCAGAAGCTCTCCTCAGAAGATAACGAACTTGAGCTGATTCTCTTCATCTTAGAGGCTAAGTTCCTGTCTTCGGAAGTCTCTCCCTGAAGTTTGTAAGCTAGGATGGGGTCCATCTAGCTTGGCTCATGTGACGCAGCATATTTCAGGTGCTTCTTCCACACTTCTTTCTCGGCGCACTTCTACGTATATAGATCGGTTCAGCTCGGTTAGAGTTGAACTTGCAAGTTTGGAGAGTGCGGCGGCTTGTGCGTTCTAACCCCTTGGGATCAGCTCGACTTCAAAGGTTCTCAACTTCGCAATGACTGTTTTGATCTTTGCAAGGTAAACTATCATTGAGGGCTCTTTGGCCTCATTTCACCTCGGATCCGATTTGCAACGAGCTAAGAGTCTGTCTTTAAACAGACATGTTCGGCTTCCAATGCTATGCACAGTTCTACGCTAGCGACCGCTGCTTCATATTTAGCTTCATTATTCAAAGCTTTGAATGAGAATTTCAGTGCATACTCAAAGGACTGCCTTCAGGCGAGGTTATGACTACCCCTGTTCCCGAACAATTCACGACGGAGGATCCATCCGTGAAAACGGTCACATTTTCTCTTCCTTGTCAAGTGTCTCTTGATAAGAACACTCGGCCAGGAAGTCCGCCAAGGCTTGAGACTTGATGGCTGCTCTTGGCTGGTAGCTGATATTGAACTCAGTGAGCTTGAATGCCCACTTTGCTAGTTTACCAGATTTCTCTACTTTCCCGAGAACATTATCTTGCGGTTGATCAGTTAAGACCACTATTTTATGGCAATCGAAATAGGGCCTCAACTTCCGAGCGGCTACCACTACTACGTATGCAACTTTTTCGAGTAGCGGGTAGCAAGTCTTGGCTGCTAAATTTTTTCTTCTTCCCTTAGCAACACCGTGCTTATAGTGGTTGGGCTAACTGCCACATATAAGTGCTTTAGTGCTTTGAAGAAGGGAAACCCTTTGTCCGAGGCTCTAGAGATGAACCTGGACAGATTCTGCCAGTGAGATGCTGAACGTCCTCTTTGTTTTCGGCTTGGGAAGATCCAGAGTTGCCTGAACTTTGGCGGGATTGGCATCAATCCCCCTTTTTCTGACCATGAAGCCGAGGAACTTGCCTGACTTCACGCTGAAGACACACTTCTTCGGATTCAACTTCATTTGATGCTTTCTAAGGGTGGCAAAGGTTTCGGCCAGGTCCGTGACATGGTCTTGGTCCTTTTTTCTTTTGACGATTGAATCGTTAACATACACTTCTATGTTACGGTCTTTTTGCTTGGCAAAAACCTGATCAACCAGCCTTTGATATGTTGCCCCCGCATTTTTCAATCCGAAGGGCATCATTTTATAGTTATACACCCCGACATTTGTAACGAAGGCCGTTTTTGCTCGATCGTCGGGATGCATGAAGATCTGATGAGACCCCGAGAATACATCCATGAAACTAAGCAGGGCATGCCCACTCGTCGAGTCGACTAATTGATCGATCCTTGGCAAGGGATAAAAGTCCTTCGGACAGGCCCTATCTAGATCCGTGAAGTTTACGCACATTCTCCAGGTGCCATTTACCTTTTGAATCATCACCACATTGGCCAACTATTCTAGATATTGACAAGGTTCAATGAAACCCGCATCCAGAAGTTTTTTGACCTCAGCTGCGATGTCTTGGTTCTTATTTGCGGAGTACTTCTGCTTCTTTTGCTTAACCGGTTGACACGTGGGGTCAACATTAAGCTTGTGAGAGATGAGGTTCGGGTCAATCCCGGGCATGTCTGCTGCCGAGAAAGCGAACACATCTTTGTGTTCCCGAAGGAGTTGGATTAGTTCAACGCAGATGCTCGGATCAAGTCCAAGTCCGATGCTGACACATTCTTCAGTATCCCCTTCGCTCAACTCTATTGACTCAGTCTGATGGTCCAGTTCCATAGCTTTGGCACTGGACTCTTCACGATCTGGCCTGCTGTCAATATCAGCAGGCTTCCCAGACTTGGCTGATATTCTGAGTCTTTCGGCTCAGATGACGAATCAACCTTTTCTTTCCCCAAAGATTTTTCTGTTGGTGGGGTGCCTTGGGCCGAAGCACTTAAGCCTTTAGGCTTTTTTGTGCATCAGTCCATTTCTCTTTCTTCCTCATCATCCCGATCGTCGCGGCGACTTTTGGATGGTTTAAGGTGATTGCATCTTTGGGCCTCCTTTTGGCTGCCCTGAATTCTTTCGGAGTGTCCCTCGTCCGAAACATAGATCATCATTTGATGGTACGTCGAGACAACTCCTTGAATTTTGTGAATGAGGGGTCTCCCCATAATCACGTTGTACACAGACGGAACGTCCATGACCAAGAACTTGGCCATGATGTTCCGGGTTGCTCGACCCTTACCGATGGTGATAGGAAGAGAAATCTTCCCATCAGGATATGATGAAGAACCATTGAATTTAGATACCGGCAAGGGTACTGGGATTAGATGCTTGGTCTCCAACTTCAGCTGGTCGAATGCTCCTCGAAAGAGGATATTCGCGCTACTACCACCGTCAACGAGAGTTCGCCAGACGTTGTGGTTTGCAATGCCCGTCACAATTACCAACAGGTCATCATGGGGGTACACTAACCCTCGGTAGTCTTCGGCTGTGAACAGAATGTTTGGCACCGGAGACTGGGGTGCTCGGATGTCTGCATGATTCACTTGATGGGTCAAGCCCCTCAAGTGGCGTTTTAATGCATTCCGAGAGTAGGTTCCTCCGGAAATGACAAGGATATCCGGATTTTCTTTGCCTTGCGGCTTTTCCTTTTTCCGGAGGAAATCTAGATCTTGCCGATGATCTTTTTCGGCTCTTTTCTCTTCGCGGCGATCCGCGAGATATTTTTTCAAGTAGCCCTTTCGGACCATGTCCTCGATCTGATCTTTCAGCTGGAGGCAGTCCTCGGTGTGATGTCTAGGAGATTCATAGCACTCACACCATCGGTCCTTGCCTTTTTGCTGATGCCACAGTGGGAGTGGCCTTGGCTTCTTAAACCTCCCCTCGTCCTTAGTTATGCTATAGATTTTAGCATGGGGAAGAGTGAGAGGAGTGTAAGAATCATATATCCCTGTATAGGGGGTCTTTTCTTTCTTCAGCTCAGGTGCCGAGGACGGTTCTGAGGCTTTCGCCTTCCCTTTCCTCGGGCCCTGGCCTTCGCACTGTTGTCCTTTTGCTTTCCCAGCCCCGGATTGGGACTGGGATTTGGTCTTGTTCCATTCTTCGACCTGGGTGTACTTATCCATGGCATCTAGAGCTTCCTCCAAGGTCTGCGGTGGATGCATGACCATGAAGTCCAGGAACTTTCTAGCTTGTGAGCCATTTTTTAATGCAAAAACGGCTAGCCCTTGGTCCAGACTTGTGATTCTGGACGACTCGTTGCTAAAGCGAGTCAGATAGTCTCGGAGGCTTTTGTCCTCCCCTTGCTGCAGACCCATCAATTCTGCAGTTGTTTTCTCTCGGCAGTTTGCCGTAGAAAACTTGCTCTTGAATTTGTTGGAAAGATCTTTCCAACCGGTTATTCAGCCTTCTTTCACCCCCTTGGTGATCCACGCTTGTGAAATACCTTTGAGAGTAGTTAGGAAGTACTTACACCAAGTAGCCTCAGACTTGGGATTAAGGTACATGTGCGCTGGGATTTTCACCGTTGGCACATGCTCTTCCAATATCCAGCTTTGGAAGGGCGAGCTGGTAGGAACCATTACGGCCTTCCCCTTACGTCTAGCCGTTAGGACCTCGCTCCTCCCTTTTAGAGAGGTTGAAGTGGTTTTCGTCCTCGGCTGAGACAATTCGGGGTATGGCTCGGTCCCCTCTGGGTAGGTGAGGCGACTATGGACGCTCATCTCCCTTGATCCTAGACGTTCGTGAACGTCTAGGCGAGCAGGCTCTTGCCACACGGAGGTGGAATTGCTGCGTTTGTAGCTCTTTGGAGTCCCGAGTTTTGGAATTGTCAAAGAACTGGGGATTCCTTTTCCTTTCTCGCTCAGGGTCCTCCAAGTGTCCTCCTCATACTTGTTCCTGAGCTCCTTGAAGGAAGGAGCCCGTCCACTATCCTCTTGGCCAATCCTCCTTCTAAGGTTTCTTAACGGAAGAGGTGAGTGATCACGGGGTGGTGGAAAGTTGCCTGCTTGGGCCTTCATGAAATCCATGAAGACCGCGATGGCTCTCGCCACTTTCTCTGTAGAGGGCCCCGTTTGGGGAGTTGTTCTCAGTTGAGACTGAGAACGTAAGCTTCGTGGAGGAGGACTCTTTGCATTTAATTGATTTGGCCGAGATGAACTTATCGACTGGCGAGTATGATGGGATGGTGACTTCTCCGATGCTACCCTTTTCGGGAAGAGGGAGCTTTTGAAGAAGAAGAAGAAGAAGAAGAAGAAGAAGAAGAAGAAGGTTCCGGTGATGGTGGAATCGGTGGATTCATTCTCACCGTAATTAGATCTCTCCTCGAAGAGGAAGGATCGTTCTTCTTAGTACTCTTGGCACTTTTACCACTCTTAGTCATTTTCTTTCTAAGATTGGTTGATTTTTTTGGCTTGTTTTGATGTATCTTCCCCACAGACGACGCCAAATTGTTTCGGTATGAAAAAAATAAGACCTTCGGCAGGCCCTTTACGGTGGGAGAAAACTTATCTCGGTCCAAGTGGAGACTGGGCCAAGGATTTCCTGCACAACAAACACACGTAAACTAGCCTTGGGGGTTGTGCTGAGGAAGACCCCTCTGATACTAAAGTCAGTTCAGTGTATTGAGAGAGAAAGCTATGCAAGAGAAATTAATTACTTGAGGCTTAACGTGAATGAATGACAAGAAGAACAGTTGAAGGCTTTTATGCCTTTGCTCAATGGATGAACTGGGCCCCAAATCAGATGGGCTTGCCATGCTGGCTGGGCTTGACTTACTTGGCATGCTTTAGAGGATTGAACCTTGCTTTTGGGCTTTTGTAATGAAATCGGAATGACCCAATTGGATGATTGAATTGGACCCAAACACAAGCTTAAATAAAGATCATAATAACTAAACTTATACTAAGAAAACCGTTCACAATCTTCACATTCAAATATATCAAACACACAAAATAGAAATGGTAAGAAATTACCTTCCTACGTCACCCACATAATTCACACCCCATTGCATAACCATTTCTCTGCAAGAGTGCGCCCAACAATCAATATCCAACATTCTCTATCCTTCCTTATCTAATCTAATGCATATCTTGCCCTCCACCCATACAAATCTAAATCAGTCAAAATTTACACTGCTAGCAAAAACTAAAACATCCCACCTTTAAACAATTACAAAACCAACAATATTATGAACCCAAATTCAACAAAATGCATACTAAATAAATCCAAGTGAAAAGGGGGATTTTATTAACAAAAAAAGGATACCCTTAGAAAAAATTAGAGTTTCATCTCAACTTTTTTTTTTTCATTCTAAATTGTTTTCTTTAATTGAAAAATCTATAACCTACTCCTAAATTGAAGAATAGATGTAGCCCAACTATGAGAACAACTACTTGGGTAGAAGCTCTTAGTCTCCTCCTCAACTCAGCCGAGTTGACCTTTAACTTCCTCACAAACATCCACATTCTTCTCGATCTCCACCACTTTCACCCTGAAAATCGGAAAAGCAGAGAAATTGAGCTCCTCATTAGCCTAATTAAACTGCTATTTGAAGAAGGGGAAAAATTACCTAAGATAATTTACCTTAAAATCCGGTCTAATGAAGGAGACAAAGGTCTGTCACTGCTTTGATGGAGAACTCAGAGTAAATTTCAATGGAGGTACATTGTAAAAGATGAAAAATATATAATTATATAAAACTAGCCTAATAAAAAACTAGAGTAATTCATCAATCATCATCATCTTCATCATACTTGTTAAAGCATGGAGATAAGCGAGGAGAGAGAAGAGATGAGATCAAGGAGGAAATTGAGAGAAGTAGAATTGAAATAGATGAAACAATCAGTTCGGCACAATTTAGAGAGAGAAGTTAAGATTGAGGAGATAGATTGAGAGATGAGGACTGTGGAGGAGAGAGATTGAGAGGTGAGAGAAAAAGCGTATTTAAAAAATAGTAGCAGAGAGCTAGTTGGCAAAATACTAAAGCTGAGCTAAGGATAAAGAAGTAATTGGACTTTTTTATTGGATAAAAGTGAGGGCAAAATAGGTAGTACACTATTCATAAGGAGGTCACCTTATTTCCAACTTGTGGCTTTTAAATAGTTATAGATTCCCTCTTTTACCTCCTTTCATTTAAGCTTCTTTTTATAAAACAATTTCATTAAATTAATAACAGTTGATGTCTCTCTTTGAAATTTAGTACTCCACATAGAGAATCATGTAAATTATGTGAATGTAGAGTTAAAACATGTGACGTTAAATTTAATGTCGATTAGGTGATTTAAGTCTTTACAAATATATAACATGAATTATAGGTATATTTTTGCTCATTTCAATCTTATCATAATATATACATATTGTAACACATAATTTGTTCAAATAAATCATTTTTGTTTTGATAGATACCTCTGATATTTTGTGTTTCATACTCCTTTATTTTGGGGGAGGGATCAAAGATGAGGCTTTACATATGCATTTTACCGGATCTTTAAGGGGTATTTGGAACAAAATTCAGACTACTTTGTTCAAGTTCTTTTAGGCTTTTAGTTCTAAAAAGATAAATACTCTGAGACTCTCAAAGCCAATCGAATCGGTTAATCAACAGAAAGATGCATTCAAACGATGAGTTAGATACGTAGCCAATATCACGAACCTAACGAGGTCGATATGTACTTCTGTAGTACCAAGCTTTTTTTGTCCATCATGAAGATTATGTAAGTGTATCTAGATTAAATCTCGTACAATAATGTACGGTTGTCAAATTTTTTTGACAATAATATTATAAAAACGGTATAAATATAATGACTTGAGTATTAAAAAAATTAGAGTATTAAAAAAAATAAAAACATGCAAGAAAATATTTCAAACAACATATAAGTTATAATAGACAGTTTTCACATAAAAAAAAATTAATAAACAATATAATACAAGATGAAGCTCGTGCGATGCATGGTTTGGTTGTATTTTTTTAAAATAAATATTTTTTGTATTTATGTGATAAATTTTGTTATTTTATAGTATATCATTTAATTTTTTATTTTAAAATAAATTGTTATTTTCCTCCCATTCTTTATATATTTAGAAAAAATTCCTAATCTCAAAAGATAATATATTATATTTAATTAATTTAAAATCTCATTCGTCATTTTTGCTTATGTGGCATTTGAATTATTTAATTCTAAAAAAATTTTAATATCTTATATAATTGGCTATAACTAAAGTTTATGATGCTACATGGCGCGTCAAGAAAATTTAATCCTACATGACTCTATAAAAAATCGGGAAAAAACTCTCCTTTATATTTATATATATATATATATATATATATATATATATATATATATATTAGATTTTAGGACAGTATTAATATTTATATACTATATAAAACAAATGTCATAATTGAGATACAATTATTTTCCCTAGTAACAATGATTTTGTTTTTTACAAAAAAAGTACTTTTGGAGGTAAATTTTTTAATATAATAGCGCCAAGTATCTCTCTTGGTTTCTCTTTAGTATTATGTAATAGATGCCTTCTTAATATCCTATAATAAAAAATACGAAGTACTACAGTAACATGATTCACTTAATTTCAACTTGTATCAATACTTTCTCTGTATTTTAATAAGTATTACACTTTGACTGGCATATAGTTTTACGCAATTTAATTGACTTAAATAAAATAAGAGGCAAGTGGGGTAGTTGAAGTATTAAAAAATTGTAAAAGATATAAAGATAGTAAGGTTAATAGTTTAATGAAAAGTAATGAATGTGAGAGGAAAGAAATAAGAGTAATAAAAAAAAAATAGTAGTGAGTTTGGGTGGGGACCATGAAAGGAGAAGATATAATATCAAAATATAGGTTTTTGCCAAAAAAAGTAAGTGTAACACTTATTAAAACACGACCGCATTTGATAAGTGTAACACTCATTAAAACACGGAGGGAGTAATAATAAATCCAATATATCCATATGCTTGCATATATACATGAATCCTACAATGCACATTCCAAGCATCATAACCAACTTAATATGCTTCTACTCTCATTCTTGGTACATAAATAAATTCCTAACATAGTACTACGCTTAAATAAATTATCTTGCCCATACACGTATTTCGAGTAATGCCTTAGAATGGTCACACTCGTTAGAAATCGCTCAATCAAAATCTCCTACAATAAAGAATACGTAGACATAATTAACATTCTCTATTAATATAAATTAGCAACTTTTAAATATTTTAAACCTCTCTAAAAATATGAAACTTTGGTTTAAAATCCTAATTCACTTTCTTAAAGTGGGTAATTAAAACCTTAACTTAAAAGCTCACTTTCAATTTTTAGGGATTATAATTTGGGGGTTTTTATATAATTAAAATCAAAAAATTATAGTAATAAATCACAACAGACCTTTTTATAATCAATTTTAACCATGAATTGAATCTTAAAATTAAGGATTTAATTAATAAAGAAAAGAGAGAAAGATAGAGTTTTTTTTTTTTTTTTTTTTTTTTGTATGATTACCGAAAATCATAAGGAGGAGATATAAACTCACGGTTGCCGCTGGGTGATGTTGCTGCCGCTCGTTGGTGGTGGTTACCATCCGACGGTGGCCTGCAGGCGGCACACGACAAGAGAGAGAGAGAAAGAGGGTTGGGGTTTTTGTAAAATTGTTCAATTGTAAAATAAAACTTGTAGGGAAATTTTATGAGCAAGTGGGGTTTTTTTTTACCCTCTTTTAAAATCAAAAAATCAATACTCCCTCCGCATTTTATTTCTTGTTCATTTCTCCATGTGCAGAGTTTTAGGAGAAATAGTATAAAGTAATAAAATATGAAGGAAGTGTGTTGGTGGAAAAAAAAAATTAAAGTATGAAAGTTGGGAGGAGAGAAAATATGAAAATATTAAAGTATGATAGTTAGGGGTTCACTAGGAGAGAAGAAATTATAGTAAAATATCGTGAAAGGATTCCAAAAAAAGAAATGGATCAAGTAATAAAATATGATCGTAAAAGAAAAGTGGAGCAAGTAATAAAATACGGAATTTACAAGCATGTCATTAGTGAGGAATTGTATTATCTCTAAAATTCTTTAAGCTTTCCTAATTAAAACCTTTTAAAAACTCTTTCTCTTTGAAGTAAACTAGTCCAATAAATATTTTTGCCCCAATCAAATACTTTTTGAGTAACAAATACTCCCTCTTTTTTTTCATTTTTATTTTTTTTATGTTTTTTTTATCGTTTTTTTAAATCTAGAACTGTGAATGCACGGAGTTCTAAGATATTTTATTGACTTTAATAATAATATAAGATGTTAGTGGGATAAGTTGAATAATAAAAAATTGTAAGAAAAGATATTGAGGTTATTATTTAATTGAAAAGTAAAGGGATGTGAGAAGGAGTAGGGACCATTGAAAGAGTGGAAAATAAAGTAAGAGAGAGTGAGTACCATTGGTGAGTAAAGTTACATTAAAATCTAAGGGGTTTCCGAAAGAGGAAGTGTATCACTTAAAAAAAAGGCCGAGTAAGGCAAGTTTAGCTTTTTAAAAAAACAAAGGGAGTATATTTTATAGACTTTGTAATTAATTTATAAAATACAAAAATATATAAATTTTAATAAAAAATGTATTAAAATACGAGATATTACAAATAGAAATGTGACTGACTCAAAGCAAAAATCTCAAAAGGATTTGATTTATTTGGGTCTATTGAATTTTTTTTTAGTGAAAAATTGAGCCTTATTGGGTAAGGCAAGCCGATTTTGGACAGTTTTCGTCTACTCAACTACTTTCACTAGGTTTTACATGTGTGTGTCTGTGTGTTGGATTTCAATAAGAAGTTTTTTAAAATAAGAAGATGAGAAAGATGAAATGTGCAAATTTTTTAAGGATTTTTTGACACTTACCACCTACAATAGTTGCTGTTTTAGGAATTACCACCTACACATATTTTATTTTATTTTTTTAATTTTACCACCTACTATTTTTTAAAATATCAAAACTTTTACCTATTTGGCTCTAAATTGAAGTGTGATGTCCTGTGGGGCCCACTAATTACCTTCTTACCCTATTTCCCTCCTTTCCTTCTTTCTCTCTCGATTTTTCATTCCCCCATATTGTACTCCTCTCAAAATTGAGGAAATACGTTAAATTAAATTATATATTCATGTTAATTATTACAAGAATTGAAGTTTTTCCTTGATTTTGAGAGGTATACAATACAAGGGAACGAGAAATCAAGTGAGAAAGAAAGAAAGGGAGGGAAAAAGGGTGGGAAGGTAGTTAGTGGGCCCCACATGACGTCACATTTGAGTTGAGAGCCAAATAGGTGGGAAGTTTTGATATTTTAATAATAGTAGGTGGTAAAATTTAAAAAGAATAAAATAAAATAAAAAATAGGTGGTAATTGCTAAAACAGCAACAATTGTATGTGGTAATTGTAAAAAAAAAACATTTTTTTAACTAAAACAGAAAAATTGATTTTTGGACTAAAAAAAAATTGAATTTTATGGAAAATCAGGAAATGTGCACATTATGTTCAAAATTTATGCACATCAAATTTGAGTTAAAATATTTTTTTGCACATTTAGCTCAAAAAATATGCATATTTAGTACAAAAAGTATCCTTCTCATTTTTCACATTTTAAGGAACTTCTCATTTAACCCTAAATATATAAAGTTTTGTCTTATTTGAAATGAGACTAAAAATATTAGGGACTCATGGTGCATTGGATAGGATTTCTAAAAGTAAAAATATTAAATTAAAATGATAAATTGACACGTAGGCGACATATATGGAATGACATGTGTTTTGGGGTTTTCTGTGTCCTTCGGGAGAGTTACAATTCCAAGACTGGATTCCGGGCGCCTATAGCTGCAAAACAACGGAGACTCCAGTTGGGTGGAGTTCCGCCTCCGACGATCAAGTTAGAACGGTTCTATTTGGTTTCTGCCCCCAAGAAATGAGAGAACCGTGAACTGTGCACATACAACCGAAAGCCAGACCTGATAGAGGCATTCCAGAACCTCATGTGGT